TTTTTTTTTTTTTAATTTCTGCGAGGAGAAGTGTTTTCTGACTCGCTGCATTCAAATACGTCGGAAGCGTTTAATGACCATCCGTCGGCCGAGACTGTTCGTCTTATTCATTACGCTAAGTACCCAGAAGTGCACCTAGTCATCCTCCGGCGATTTTATGCACGCCATGAAGTAACGGGTGTGCCGGAAGTGTTATCGCGAGGACGAGATAAAAGGTGGCTGAGGATGGCACGCGGGATCCTCGCGATCCTTGTTGGCGTATTACAGAACAAAGCGTCCAGTTCTAGTTTCTCGATGTTATTACTCTTCGCGCGTAACAATAAATAAATAGCGAATGCAGCAAAAGTACGTTTAAGAGAATAAAGACCTTTTTTTTCAGCGGAGCTGATATATGATATTTAACAAGCGAAACCGAATTGATCGGTTTAACCGGTTTGCGAAAACGGTTTCAAACAGCATCGAGGCTTACACTACTTCTACTTAAGCTTTAAACTTTCGATTAAGTTTTTAAATACATTTTTCACTCTCTTTTATGTACCAATACGATAAAAAATAATTCCTCTAGATTTTTCTACACTAAATGAAAAAAATTTATACGGAAAAAAAAATACAAAAATGTTTACACAGAAAGAATACTTTTTTGCCGAAATATTTAAAAATTTGATCAAATACGGATTTGAAAATAATTCTATTGAGTCACCAAAATACTTATGTAAAACGTATTTAAGTTTGTTAGAACATAAATGTTAGAACAACAATTTTTTTCAGAATAAAAAACATTATTGTCATCATATTTAAGCATTTTACATAATTTTGATGTCCCAAGAAAATTATTTTTAGATCTGTATCCGTATCAGATTTTTAGATATTATTAGATTTAGCAAAACTATTCTTTCCGTATATGATTCGATACAAACGCGTTTGCATACTTGAAGTATTGTGACAAGAAGTTGAAACTAACTTTAAATATTAGATTTAACATATTTTTCATTACTTCGCATCTTCTACTTTGGATCATGTAAAGCCTCGATTCCCTCGTTTCCCTCCCCCCCAACAAAAGAGCATATATACTATATATGTATATTCTACAAAACATTAAAACAATCCTGACATCGATGACAAATAGAGTCAACCAATCTCTCGGTATTTAATTTCAATAACTGAAATTAAACTGAAATTACTTCAAACACTCGAGCTTCAAAAGCTCGATTTTCCACCATTTTGTGGCCGTTAAGAACCTCCATTTATAATTCATTTTCAGATCAAGTGAAATTTATGAAAAGCAAAGATATAGCTAAAGAAATATTCCGTGCAGCCGACTCCTAAAATCACGTATTCTGCATTAAATTTTATTAATTGATAAGCAAAATGGGACGGGGGAGAGGGAGGGGGATGAAAGCAATCGATGTGGAGGACGCCGCGCGGCGGAGGAGCGGCGTCCTCCACATCGTCCCGCGTTCCCGACGAGCAACCCATCGGCGGGACGGTTCGCGTGGGTCAAATTCCCTCTGGCGCTTGCGAAAGGGTTGCGATTTCGTGCAGCGTTTTACCGTTCGATCCACCGTACGATGCGGGATGCGTTTCCAGGAACGGGGAATTCGTTCGGGATAACGGTTGTCGAGGTTGACGAAGGGAGGGAATTGCCAAGTACCAGTTGTGGGTGGCAACCGTCGTTGCACCTCATTTTCATTTCTCGATGGCGCGCGAGAGCCGGCCCACCCCCCCTTAATCCGCCGACATCTCCGGCGATGCGAAAACGTCGAAACGTGATACTCGAGTAAAAAAGGGGAGGAAAAAAATAAAAAACGAGAGCGCGTCCCGGATCAGCGTGAACGTCCGCGTAAGCGGATTTCGACCTCTGTGACCGGCGTTCGATGTCGCGTCTACTCACTCGCCTCGCCTCTCCTCTTCTCTCCTCTCCTCTCCTGGCTGCGCCGTGGCAGTGGCACGTGCACGTGCGATGCATCGACGTGCTCCGGCGTCTTGTACGCAGGTGCGAAGCGCGCATCGTCAAGTCCTCACTTCGCTCGACAAAGCGCTCGACGCTCGACGACGCTCGGCGTCGTGCACAGGAGGCGTCGCCGGAAGGAGGTAAAGGAGGTAAAAATTCCCGGCTGAAAAAA